AAGAGTATCATCAATTAAGAAAGCAAAAGGTCTTTACAAAGATAGAAGAGGAAGCAAGGACCAGAATAGATGTCGGAGGAGACTCTGAATACTTCACTAGAATGCCAAGAAGCCAAAACAAAGTGAAGAAATGAGTACGTTAAACAGTTGAACAGAAGATTTCAAAGGGCAGCTTGAAAAAAACAAAATATTATAACAAAATGTGTAAAGAGCTGCAATCAGAAAATCGAAAGGGACAGACTCATTTTGTATTTATGAAGCTGAAGGAACTTAAGAACAAATTCAAGCTGCAAGTTTCAGTGCTTAAAGACAATATACTGAATCATCCAGGAAGCATCAAAAATGGAAGGAATACACAGAGTCACTGTACCAAAATGAATTGGCTGACACAGAACCTTTTCAGAAAATAGCATGTGATCCAGAATCAGTAATAAAAAAAGGAGAACGTTCGAGCTGCTCTGAAGGAATTGCAGAAAAATAAGGCCTTGGGAATTGCTGGAATACCAATTGAGATATTTCAACAAATAGATACTGCTCTGGATGTGCTTACCAGGTTGTGCCAACATATCTGGACAGCAGCTCCCTGGCCCACCAACTGGAAGAGATTCATGTTTATTCCCATTCCCAAAGAAAGGTGATCCCACAGAATATGGAGATTATCCTACAGTATCACATGTAAGCAAAATCTTGTTGAAGATTATCCCAAACTGACTGGAATACTACATTGGCAGAAAACGTCCAGATACACAAGTTATTATTAGAAGAGACCACAGTACCAGGGATATCGTTGCTGATGTCAGATGGATCATGATTGAACGAAGGGAGTATCAGAAGAATGTCTGTTTGTAGTTTATCAACTATGCAAGGATACTTGGCTCTGTGGATCACAATAAATTGTGGCTCACATTGAGAAGAATGAGAATTTCCAAAACACCTGATTGTGCTCATACGAAATCTATACCTAAAACAAGAAGCAGTCGTGTGGACAGAGCAAGGGAACACTACATGACTCAAAATCAAGAAATGTTCCTTTTTCCATATCTTTTTCATCTGTATGTGGAACAGATTGTTCAGGAAACTAGGCTTTATGAAGAAGAGTGTGTCATCAAGATTAGTGGAAGACTCAACAACAAGCTGCATTATGCAGATGATACAGCTTTGCCAGCCGAAACTGAGGACTTGAAGTGTTTGATGCAAAAGGTCAGTGATAGCAGCCTTCAATATGAATTGCATCTCAACCTCAAGAAAACAAAAATTGTCACCACTACATAGACAATAGACAGCATCATGACAGATGGAGAAAGATTGTTGGTTGTTGATTTCATCTTTCTTGGATCCACAATGAGCACTTGGCACCAGCAGTCAGGAAATCAAAAGAAAAATTGCGGTAGGAAAATCTACTGTCAAAGAACTCTCCAGATTGCTAAAAAGAGCAACCATGTCAGTCTCAAAACTAAGATGCGCCTGATCCAGGCCTTGTAGTCTCAGTTGCTTGCTATGCGTCTGAGAGTTGGACAGTGAATAAGAATGGCAGAAGAACTGATGCCTCTGAATGTGGTACTGGAGAAAAGTATTGAACATCCCATGATCTGCTAAGGGAACAAACAGGTCTGTCCTATAGAAAAATTGCAGAGGGTGAAACCAGTTTGCTCCTTGGAGACAAGGTTTTTGATGCTATTTCTCAGATATTTTGGTCATGTCACAAAAAGGGACCAATCCTTGGAGAAGGAAGGATTGGATTCCAATGCTTGGAAGAGTATAGAATCAGCACAGAAGAGGAATACCCTGGAGGAAATGGATTAACACAGTGACTATGGCAACGGGATCAGGTGTGTCAGAGACAGTGAGATTGGCTCAGGATAGGGCAAGGTTCAGAGCCCTTGTTCAGCACATAACAACAAAAAGCCACCAGAGCTCATAGACAGATGTCAATGATTAAGATTTCAGTTTTACAATACTAATCTTATAGGTTGATTATTCCCATTCTACAAACAAGGAGACTAAAGTTCAAGCACAGTTAGCCCAGGTCTTCTGATTTTTAATCCTTTTCTCTTTATATTAGCAGTTGGCCTCCTCAACACAAAATGGTCTACTGATTAGTGTTTTTCTAACCCATTGTCAAGGAGCCCTGATGGTGCAGTGCGCTACATGTTGGGTAGCTAAGCAAAAGGTCAGCAGTTTAAATCTATTTGTCGATGCTCCTTAGGAGAAGAGTAGACAGTTTACTCCTATAACCATTACAGCCTCAGAAATTCAGTAGACATTCACAGTGAATTAGAATCAACTCAATAGCAGTGGCTTTAGTTTAGGTTAGCCCATAACGAATAATTCTGATTAAGCAACACTGTGAGACTGTAGAACTGTATGGAAAAAAAATGGTGGGGATAAACTCTACAACATTATAAAAAGAAAGATTTTCTTAGGCTCTCCATAGCTATTCAGTCTGTATGCTGAGCAAATTACTCGAGAAACTAGAATCTATGAGGAAGATTCATCACTAACCTACATTATGCAGATGATACATCTTGCTGCTTGCTGAAAGTGAGAAAGACTTAAAGCACTTGTTGCAGAAGACCAAAGAATACTTCCTTCAATATGGATTGCATCTCAGCATCAAAACAGCAAAAATTCTTATAACTGGACCAGTAGACAATATCATGATAGATGGAGAAAAGGCTGAAGTTGTCAATTATTTCATTTTGCTTGGATTCACAATCAGCAACCTTGATACCAGCAGTTAGGAGATGTATCGTACTGGGAAATGAGTAAGGATGACAGAAGAAGAATGGATACCTTTGAGTTGTGGTGTTGGAGAAGAGTACTGAATATCCTTTGAACTGCCAAAAGAACAACAGGTATGTCTTGGGAAAAGTGAGTGCACCAAGAGTGCTCCTTGGAAACAAAGATGCAAACCTTCATCCTTAATACTCTGAACATGTAGCTAGGTGAGGCTATTCTTTGGAAAGGGACATCTTGCTTGGAAAGATGGAGGTGGGCCACGGAGAAGAAAAACCTCAATGAGATGTACTGACATGGTGATTTCAGCAGTGAGCTCTAGTATGTCAGAGGTGATGAGGACGGCACAGGATAAAACAGTTCAACTTGGCTGTTCATACATTTGCTGTGAGTCATCCTTGACACCTAACAAAAAAACAACGAGGTTAAGGAAACTACTTTGTGGAATTTGAAGCAGTCCTATTGGCAGCCTTTTAACATTCAGCACATCTGAGGAATTCACCTATTTTGGGCATCCTTTTATAGGATAGATTTTCCTCATTTCCAGCTACTGCGGCATTGAGAATCCTGAGCAGACTCTCTCAGGACACCCTCTATGAGACGATTCAGGAAGTCCTACACGGGGGCCAGCACAAACGCAGAAAGATTTTGGGAATGGTGGAGTTTTAGATCATTTAAAGAACTATGACCCTCAGAAGGACAAGCACTTCTCGGGTACCATCAGGCTTAAGTCCACCCCAGGTCCCAAGTCCACAGTGTGTTCTTGGGGATCAGCAGCACTGTGATGAAGCCAATTCTATGGATATCCCCCACATGGACATCGAAGCACTGAAAAAGCTCAACCACAATAAGAAGCTAGTCAGAAAGTATGAAGTATGATGCCTTTTTGGACTCTGAATCTCTGAGCAAACAGACCTCCAGAATCCTGGGTTCAGGCTGGGAAGTTCCCTTCTCTGCTTACCCACAATGAGAACATGGTGGCAAAAGTAGAAAAGGTGAAGTCCACCATCAAATTTCAGATGAAAAGGTCTTGTGTTTGGCAGTGGCTGTTAGCCATGTGAAGATGACAGATGATGAACGTGTTTACAACATCCACCTGTCTGTCAGCTTTCTGGCTTCACTGATAAAGAATTGGCAGAAAGTTAGGGCGTTGTACATCAAGAGCACCATGGACAAGTCCCAGCATCTGTGCCAAGATACAGCTCAATAAATCTTACTGTTATTTCCAAACAACAACAAAGATGGATTTTCAGTTTGATGGGGAAAAACCCAAGTTAAATTATTTTAGAAATAGAATATTTAGATGTTTATATAATTAGATGAATTTTAACTTTTGTGTATACGTTACGTATAGCATGCATGTGTACACTGGGGGTGAAATTTTCAAAATAAGTAATTTTACTACTGTATCTACATTTTTTTTATTTTATTGTTTTTGTGTGAGTGTACCGTCAAATCAGATCTGACTGGTACAGGAGGAGATTGTCCCTCCTTCCTCGGCAGAGCATCTGGTGGATTCGAACCGTGCACTTCTGGGATTGTAGTTGCAGCTCCTTACCACTAGGCCACCAGAGCTCCCTGTATCTACATTTTTTAACTATTAAGGATTCATATCATTAATATATTTATTTTCAAAACTTGAGCTTAATTTTAATTGTAGTTACATGGAATTATAAAGCCTTGTAGAGGAACACTTGTCCTGTAGTGGTGAAACAATCAGCTGCTAACTAAAAGATCAAAGGTTAAAATAGACAAACCGTCGAGCTCTGGTGGCCTAGTGGCAAGAAGCTGCACTGCAATCCCAGATGTGTGTGGTTTGAATCCACCAGATATTTTGCTGGAGAAGGAGGAACAGTCTCCTCCTGTACCAGTCAGATCTGATTTGACAGTACACACACACACACACACACATAAATTTAAAAAAAAAAATAGAGAAACCGCATTGTGGGAGAAAAAGAAGGCAATTTGTTTCCCTGAAGATTTATATAAACTGAAAGCCCTAACGTCACTTTGAATTGGAATCAGCATGATGGCAATGGATTTGTTGGGTTTTTTGTTTGTTTTGTTTTTATTATATAGCTTTGTGTTTTATCATTCCTATCTACTATATATTCTGTGTGTACTTTCTAATATACTTATTTTCTTATTACTTATATGCTGATAATAAAATCTTTTGACAGATATCAGCCTCTGAAATTCAGTGCAGCTCACTGTCAATTTTATATTTTTTATAAAAATTTTTTATATTCTTATGTTTTTTCAAGCGTGCTGATGACATCACATGTTTAGTAGCGGATACTACATTACTTGTGCACTTTTTTGGAAAGAAAGGAAAAGCTGAGCTCAACTTTGAAGATTTTTATAGGTGAGCCTTCACTTATATTTTCATTGAAAGAATGTTAGCATGCTAAAGTTGGAACGAACTTTAGAAACCACTTAGTATATTGATACCTCATTGGTGCTTTTGCCTTAACTGCCAGTACTGCCCATTCTCTCAGTAACAAATATTCACTGTTAATACATATATAAAAGTGGCTATATTGGTAGTTACAAAGTTAACAATTAAAAAAATCTGTATCTTTAAATTGATTATCAATTCTTAGATGTTCAAAAGAAAGTGTGTTGCCAGTTTCTCCATTTTAATAGATCACAATAACAAACAAATATTTGTTGGCTGATAGATAAGGAGGCTTAGTGGCACAATGAGTTAGACATTTGACTGCTCTCTGAATGGCCAATTTAAAAAAAAACCAAAACAAAACAGCGCACAGACTGCTTCTTGGGAGAAAGATGGTAACAGTATACTCCCATAACGATGTACAGCCTGGAAAATTCTGTGTGACAGTTCTGCTCTGTATTACAGGATGTATGAGTCAGAATTGACTTGATCACAGTAGGGCTTTAATGTAATAGACACACTAAATTAATTGCAGAAATACTTTTGCTATCCTAATTTAACAAATGAGAAAGCCAAAATTCTAAAAATCCAAGCACTTGCCCCGATGCCACAGTCTTTAAGTAGTAAAGCCACTCATAATTTGGACTCTTTCCTGTTTACAGAAAACTTCATGAAGCAGTGTGTCATCATGTAATTGAATTATTTTATGTTTATGTTATCATATTTTTGTCACAGATTTATGGATAACCTCCAAACAGAAGTTCTAGAAATAGAATTTCTTTCATACTCTAATGGGATGAATACCATCAGTGAAGAAGATTTTGCTCATATTCTTTTGAGATATACAAATGTGGAAAATACATCAGTATTTTTAGAAAATGTGCGTTACAGTATACCTGAAGAGAAGGTAGGTATCTAATCTCCTTTGTTCATATTTATTTATTATCTTATAATTCTATATTACAAGAAATACAAAATTATAAAGGTATATTACCCTTTTTTAAATTCTTTTGTAACTCTCTGGATTAATAGATACTTAAGATAAGGAGGGGAAAAGAATTAGGTATGTCCAATGTGCTCCGGCTGGTTTTTTTTTTAAATAAGGTAATTTAAATTCCTGAATAGAGATCCATATTTTTCTGAGGTATGATGAAGACTATTAAGGCTTTTTAAATAGTTTTATTCAAACTAAGACTATCTCTTTTCAGAAGAATTCTGCTAGGCTATGTGATTTGACTACTATATAAATGCCACCTCTTAGATAACAGTTTATATTGACATCATTTCAGTCACACCTTATTCATTTCTCTAATACCTTTAATAATGGGTCATTTAAAGATAGCCATTGATGAGTGAGTGATCTTATCAGACGTTGAAGTAAAGGTGGTTTTCAAAGAGTTCTGATGGCATGACTGGTTAAGAACCTGTAACAACTAATTGTCTATTTGTGTAATAACAAATCCGTTGTCAGCAATTCTGAGCAGTTGCATTATCTAGTGGTATTTGAATGCATCACTGCAACCAAATAGAACTGGTGTTACAAGTAACCCTTCAAGCATGAGATGTTTTGAATATATTGCCTTCTATTTGTGCTTACACAAAGATCGGGTTAATCTGCCCTAGAAACACTCACAAATAGTTTGACTTTGTTTAGAATGGGTATACTGTGTCAGTCAACAATTCTTTAGGACCTCTAAGGAATGAGAAAAAGAATACAATCAGCCAGTTTGTTTACATCCTCACTTGATCTGAGAGAAACTTCTATCAGTTTTACATGTTAAAATAAGTTGTCCCAATTCATAGATACTTTGCTAAAAATAAATATTGGAAATTGTACTACTCACTCAAGCTATTAAAGGCCTTAAGACCTGGCTGAAAAGTTAAATTTCAGGTGGAACTTTTTTTCAGGACACTTCTTGTTTCTGCTACTAGTTTTTGCATTTGAAATACAAAAATAGAAAGTTAAGTTCCATTTCTAAAAAGTTCTCAATTCTAGAAATATCCTAAACACTATAAAATATCACATTAAAAAAGGAAACATTGGCAAGTGAGGCAGCATTGATTGAATGTTTATGCCTTTTCATGCTCCCTTCTCTTCAGCAAACAACCACCTGGTATTGATATCTTTCTTTTTAAAAAAGGGAATTTAAAACTCTCAGGTATTTGGAATCTTTCCAAAAGGTTCAAACCCAGAACACTTGTAAGCCAATGATAGACCAGTTACACCCAACTTACTCCTTCCATTGACTACTCAATCTCTTCTTCGTAAAAGAATACAGGTAGTCCCCAGATTAATACAGGACACTGTACAACTCGTAAGTTGGATTTTACTTAAGTCAGATGCCTTTTTTAAAAAAAAAAAAGTATTATTATTAATGTCTTTAAAGTTGGTTCTTTACTTGCCTTTGTGGGTTGGAAGTATAACATATAAATATCTGCAAGCCAACATCAAGTTAACATCAGCAAATTGCACAATGCAATACTATGTTTCATTTTTAAAAAGAAAGAAACTCTAGACAATCATAAATGTATCTCATGATAACTCAAATACTGATAGAGACTATTATAACATCAACTGTGATTTGAATAGCACTTAAAATTTCTAAAATGCTTGCATATTTATTAGTTTATCCACTAGATATTTATTAAACATTCTCAGTGAAAGAGAGGAAGACCCTCAAGCCAGATGGATTGACATGACTATAGCAGTGGGCTCACGTTTATTAGAGATGATGAGGATAGCACAGGATGGGTAGGACAGGATTCAGCTCTGTTGTTCATAGGGTTGCTATATGTTGGACTTGACTCATTGGCACATAATAGCAGCAGCTATTCACTAGGCTTTATCTTCGTCCCTAAAGAGCTATTGGCAGCTTGTTTGTATGTTCTACTAGCCAAATATTTCTAATCCTCTGGAGAAAAGGTAGGAAGTGTCTTCCAATTAAGATTTACAGTTTTGGAAATCCAGTGGAGAATCTCTGAGTCAAAATTGAGAAGCAGAGGGAGGCAAGATTTGTTTTGTTGGTATCCTATTTCCTGGGGATAAAGGAACAAGATAAGCACCGTCTATCTTTTCTGGAAACACATCTTAGTGGGGAGACAAAACAAATATATTCTTTCAGATAATGGTACATAGCATGAAAGGAATCAAGAATCGTATGAATCAGAGAAGATGAATGGTCAAAGGCTTTTCTTAATAAGATGGCTTTATAGGCAAGGTTATGAGTAACCAGCTGTGCATAGATCTGAATGAAGAATGTTCATGCAGAGGGAGCAGCAAATGATAAGGGCCTTGTGGAGGAAAAAATCTTAGTGTTTTTGATAAGCTATAAAAAGGACAAAGTAAGTTAAAAATAGTAGAAGATAAGTAGAAAGATACAAGTTATATCTCTGTACTAAGTTTAATTGTCATTTTTAAAGTTCTAGAAAGACAGATTTGTCCTGGAAAGGGTTAAACCGGGTGGCTCCTTGGAGGCAAGGATTCTGAGGCTCCATCTAACATACTTTGGACATGTTGTGAGGAGAGACCTGTCCTTGGAGAAGGACATCATGCTTGGGAGGGTGGAGAGACAGCGCAGGAGGGGAAGGCCCTCTATGAGGTGGATTGATTCAGTGACTGGGATAATCGGGATGGGAGTGTCAGAGACGGTACGATTGGCACAGGACAGAGCAGAGTTTAGGGCTGTTGTACATAGGGTCACTATGAGTCGCAAGCGACTCGACGGCACATAACAACAACAACAGAAAGACAATCAAGAGTATGGACTTTAGAGCAGAACTCCACAAATTACTCCATCTCCTATTTTTAGGAACAAAGTTTTGTTGGAATACACCCACACGCAATCATTTTATCCGTGGCTGTTTTTACACTTTAATGGTAGGGCTGAATAGTTAAAACAGATACCATATGGTCCATAAAAATGAAAATGTTTACTTTCTTGCATTTACAAAATATTTGTTAACTCTGTTTTAGGACATAGGAGTGGTATTCATTAATTTACCAAGTATTCATACTGAGTGAATGTCCATGTTGACACTCAAATATGATTTATTATTTTTTAAAATGCCTTTGACTGCTATCTAGAGAAAAATTTTATTTGGCCCAACTCTGAAACAAGGAAAACAGTTAAGGCACTGTTATAAAAGTCTAGGTAAGAGATGACCATGGCTTATACTATAATGAAAGGGGAGAAAATAGTGAGAAATTGGATAAGGAGAAAGTAGAACTAGACTTTATTGAAGGATATATTTTATAGTAAAAATAAAAGATAGCAAGAACTCCTAGGACTTGAGCCCAAGCTGTCAGGTGAAATAATTGTATCATTTATTGAGTTGAGCAGGAATATAGGTTTAGAATTACAGAATTTTATTTTGGAGAATTTTGTACTTCGTGCTAGATAAGTAAAGATACTAACTAGATAACTAAGTAAAGATACTAAGCAAACATTTGGATAAGCTGACCTAGCATGTGGAATGTAATTAAGACTACTTGTGGTAGTCACGAGGATATTAATATTCACATTATGTCTTCAGCTTTAACCTCTCCCCTGCGCTCTAGATTTTTTGCATCCTTTTGTCTCCTTGGTCAACACTTCTCCTTGACTAGCCAGTAGCCATTTCAGTTTTGATAATTCCAAAATTAAACTTCTGAGATACATAATTTTAAAAGTCCTTTTTTTCTAGTTGGAGATAGCGAAAATTTTGCACACTTTATTGTTTTCATCTGTACTGTGTGTCAGCAAATGTGATTTGCCATTTCTGTGGCTATTATTCAAGTCACCGTTCTGTTACTATTATTACACTGTGGTGGTTGTTCTTGAGTTTTTTGTGTGCTGTCAGGTCAAAACCACTTCATAGCTGAACATAGTGGAATTTCAGAGGCTTTAAATCATGTAGAGAAGATTACCCATCTTTCTCCCACAGAGCACCTGGTAGATTTGAATCATAGGCCTTAGGGTTGACAGCTCAACTTCTTACTACTACTAGGCTATGAGAGCTCCCTAGCCTCCTAAATAACCTCTCTACTTCTGTCTTTGCTTCCTTAAAGTCTTTTCTCAGTCTAGCAATTAAAGAAATTCTTTACACTAGAATCAGAACTAAGCATGGTAATTCCCTAATTTCTCAAAGCTGAATTCTTGACAATGACCTGCAGTGCATACACAGTATACTCCTTCATCACCTTTCTGACCTCATTTCCTACCATCTTCTCACTTCCTTACAGTACTGCAGCCACACTGGTCTCCTTATTGTTTGTCAGATCTTTTGCATGTGTTCTCTTCTTTGTTTCTTTGTCCAGAATGTTCTCCCCTCCATATCCACATGATCCACTATGTTATTTCTCAGTGAAGCCCATCATATCCCATCTAATATATAAATATCTTGAGATAGATAGATAGATAGAGATAGAT